AATCTCGTTCACTCTTCCCACAGGTCCTTGAAGAAATCCGCAGCCCTCTGGATGGATGCATACTATGAAACATGATGCAGATGCCAGCCTTGATGTGCACGTAATTGCATCTTTCAAGGAGGCTGGTGAATGTGTAGGAACTTCCTGCTTACCTATCAGTGCCATTGGCATACTGGAGTGTGCCAGGAGTGTGAACTCTAAGGATACATGATAACTTTCCCTGAAGGTTTCCTCTGCAAATAAGAAGCAGAGGGAACACAAGATAGCTTTGACCAGAGTGTCAAATGGGAAGTGGAGTCCAATGTTATTATTTTTTCCAAAAGATCTTTAACTTAGTCCTACCAACAGGCCTTATTCAAATCATCTCAGTTGCTGGGCATAAGTACAGGAGCCATGTAAAAGTCTCACTGACAATGTCAAGGGTCAATGAGAAGAAGGTTAAGGAGAGACTTCAGATAGAGCACTTTTTGAAAAACAGGGCAAATGCTCTTTGAAGAGAATCATACATTTTAGAAGTTCCTGGTAAAGCACAAATTTTTTGCTTTTTCCTTTTTTAAACAGTTGAACTTCTTTTTCTTTAAATGTTGAGTATAATTAACATTAAAATCTCTAAATATTTAAATATTCATTTCAGATTTTCATTATTGTACTGCACATCTGTAATTGGCATATATATACATATATATATATATATATATATATATATATATATATATATATATATATATATAATTTGTTTCCAAGTTGTAACATTTCTTAAAAGTGCTCTCTACATTTAGTCCCAACAGCAACTGGTAAAGTAAGAATAGACTCTCCCTGACTATAAGATTTGTTTGCCTAATCCCTAACCACCAAAACAGAACTGCCAAACCTCATTTCTAGGTGACCCTACTGCAAGAGAGGGATATATTTTCTATAAACTAGACCATAGGCTATGTCAAGGCATTTTCATCTGTTACATAACCCCCTGCTGAAGCATGTCTTAAGACGAAAGAGTTTCAATATTAGAAGGATGAGTCGACACTCTCAGTAGCTAGTATAGTGATGTTTAATATGTCTGTGCTTTTGCTCATCTAGTCAGGGGGTGGGGGGTGGGATGGGAGGGGGCAGTTTACACACGACCTTGTCTGCAGGGAAAGAAAACAAATGGCACGTCTTCCATCCCCGCGTTAGGGGTTTATCTGTTGTCTGACATTCTACCAGGAAGCATTTCATCCCCTTCTTCCAAACTCTGCAAAATATTTGGGGTTTTTTTGTTTTGTTTGTTTGTTTGTTTGTTTGTTTCTTAATTTAATCCCTGGGTTGTGAAGCAAAGACCCTGTGGCAGAAAAAAAAAGTGTGGAGACTTGAAAGAAGCCACTGGGGTTGACTCAAAGGGAGCAGGGGCCACGGAGGGGCAATGAAGGAAAATACATTAAATTACTCACATGTCCTAAGGGTAAGCCATGCGTGCCAAAGCTAAGAAAATGAGAACGGGTAGTCTGGGAGGACTGGGCATTAAACTACCAGTAATATTCAATTGGGAAGTTGGTTAGGGAATGAAAAGGGAGAAAAGTTTTGTTGACTTCATAATTCTTCATAATGTAAGCCCTGGGTGGAAGAGCCACGAATCCTCCTGCCAGTGGATCTACAGATTACTCCTGCCTGAAATCAGGTTGCAAGTAGGAATGGAGCACAGTGGTTGCTTTCTCTATCCAACTCCCAGAGAAGTTCAAGCATGATTTGTCCTCCTAGTCACTAGAAATAACAACCAGACCTCTCCCTGGACACACTACCTCAAGACCTTCCTTCCTCAAGGTGGAAACTAGCCCATGTTGCAATTCCCCAAATGGAGTTGGTTACTGTGAAATGGAACAAATCTGGGAGATTTAGACAGATGATGTACAGGAAACGTGAAAACTAAATGGAGGTCATGCCCTTTGCTTTCTCTCCCTGCAGCTGAGGTCATCTGTAAGCTGTTCCCCCTCCCACCCCCCTTCCCACATGAATATATGAGCAAAAGCACAGACACACTATACTAGTTACTGAACCTCTCTGTCACTCTCCCTGCTCTCACTTACAGTTCAAAACAGGTGCTAGGTAAGAACAAAAGTTTATAATGGAATACATTTTAACTTACTAGTGCTAGTCAATAAAATAGTCCTTTTTCTGAATTCAGTCTCTCAATTGATTTCTCTATCTCACCCTGCAGTGACTGGTATTTGCGTCTGGGGAGACACATGACTATATTTATATTACTTGTTCAATAAATTTCCCAGAGGAGGAGAACCAAGGCCTGTTACTATGACAGTTTCCAAGGTCTCTGAGCACTGATTTGGAATTTAGATGATCCAGCCTGCAGGGCATTCCATTTCTGCCCTTCATAATGTAGGTTTCTAATGACTCCTGATTGTTATAATACAGTCCTCCCTGAAACACTTCAATGGATTCCCATGGCTCTTTGAATAAAGAACAACCTGGAAAAATGCCTACAGACTTTGCCTGCACTGTCCCTTCCCCGTGTACCTTGCCCCCCCTTATAACACTCTGGCACGTGCTCTCTCTGCTGCAGCCCCAATGGCTTCTTTTGAGTCCTCACAGTTTCTTCTGTGACAGGGTCTTTGCTCCTGAACCCAGTGTCTGAACCTCTCTGTCACTCTCCCTGCTCTCACACCTTCTCATTTGGTTAGCTGTCACTCACCTGCACATCCCAGGGAAGCTTCTCCACTGTGATATGCTCTATAACAATTACTACAGGTATAATTTTACATTCATTTGTGTGACTCCTTAATTAATTTTTATTACACCCTAGCTTGCAGAATCAGTAAAGATGTACAGAAGGAAGGAAAGAAAGGGAAGAAAGAAGGAAGGGGGGAAGGAAGGGAGGAAGGAAAAAAAAGGGAGGAAGGAAGGAAAGGATGTATATAAATGTAATTCTTTCTAACTACATAGAAAGGTAAATTTTTTCTAATATAGGAAAAGCACTTCCATATTCTAACTCTGAATTATTAAAATTATTACCAATACTTAAGAGTATCTACCAGCCACTTAGTACTGAACTGTACCTCTCATTGGCATTATTTTATTTAACCCTCCTAATGGTCCCATGACACTGTCCTATAATTAATCTTATTTTATAAAAGAAAAAGTTGGGGCCTAGGGAGGCCAAGCAACTTGCCTGATGTCACAAGATAGAAAGTGGTGGAGTAGCGTTTCAGACTCAGAGATGTCTGACTCCATAGTCAATGCTCATTAATTTCCATGCCAGAAAATTCAAAGTAATGGGGAATTAAGTGGCATTAGAAGACATGGCAGTTGGTGTTTCTGGAATATCTCTAATAGCTTCCCAGAAGCTAATGAAATAAGCATTTCTACCTCAGCAAGAGCACGTACCTGGGAAGGGGAAGGCGGGAGGGGCCCATGAAAGGCACAGTGGCCACTTGGAAAGAGCTCCTGTTGACAAACTTCTACTCACCAATCCTAAAAGAGTACTCAGCTCAGACAAGTTTCACTTGGACGTAGTCAAGCTGAGATTTAACCTTTAACTGCATTAAACATGGAAGAACAGGGTAAAGACATGGATTTGGGATTTTGTGATGACTTAGCATGATTTCAACCCAAGGAAAATTCACTTTCTCTGTGGCTGTCTTTATGTGGCCTTACCTGAATCCTATTTCCTTTAAAACTGTATTCCTCCTGGCGAAATTCACCTCTGAGAAATTGCATGTGTTTTCAGTTAGGCATTAAGTAAGAGTGACTGCCTTAGAGGTCAGGGACCTAGATTCTTATTTCATCTCTTTAATATTCTACAATGAAATTGGCCAGGTCATGTATACACTCCATACTTCAATGTGTAAAATAGGTGTGGTGCATAATATTACCTGGCCTACATGTATCACAGCATAGTCAGAACAATCAAATGAAGCAAGGCAAATGGGATAGTTTCACAAGCCAGAAACACCCATCCCGTCTGATACTGGTTATTGTTATTATAGTGAGGGTTCCTCCCACCCTAGACCCACCAAATGCAAGAGAAGCCTTAGAGTCACACAGAAACACAAGATGGAGAGGTAGTGAATCATTTTTAAAATGAAAGGATGACAGACTTTCCCCACAATCGAGAAAATGATTCCTCTTGTTGCAACAACTAAGACTCAGGAGTCACCCTCAAGGTCTGACTGTATTCACTCCCCTGGGCCCAGCTTTGAGAGCGCAGGCTGGAGGAAGAGGAGAGGGCCAAAGGTTCTAGTTGCCAAACTTTTGATTAACCAAGTGAGTACACAATTATCCTGGTTGGAAATTATGCCAAATATAAGTATACAAATGAAACAATAAGTATTGCATAATCAGCATATTATAAAAAACTTTCTTGACTATCTCCCTGCTAATCACCTAATCATCAACTCTAAAGATGCAGAAAATATAGGAGACTGAACCTAAACTCTATTGAGGGTATGAATATGCTCAGGTATTTTTCCTTTCTCAACATTATTTATGAAAGTTTGTAAACAGAGCAATGTTGAAAGAATTTTACAGTGAGCATCAATATAGCCATCACCTAAATTTCAACTTGAACATCTTAGCAAACATTTTTTCATTTACTATCTATCCATCCACTTATTAATTCCCTTATTTTTTATGCATTTGAAAATAAATTTCTAGGAGCTGACTTTTAAAAATAAACCTCAGATTATGCAAACAACAAAATATATCTCTTCTCTTCAATAAAGAATTGGTGAAAATTGTGTAGCAGCTTCATCTTTGGGGGAATTTTTAGGAAATTTTGCTTCATTACGAGACTATAACATAGTTAACTTTCTGCAAAATCAATTATTAACTCAAAATAGAATAAACCTTCTCATATATACATTTATCTTTCATCATCTTTTATTTATGCATATAAATATTTATCTTCATTATTCTCTTTCATCTGGCAACATTTATTGAGCACTTACCAGGTGTCAGACACTGGTGATGTGAACAAGAGGGACAGGAGCCAGCCTCTTGAAGCTTACATTTCAATGGAGAAGACAGTCAATAAACAAGTAAATAGAACAAAAATCAAGGTTACTATATATCCTATATAATAAAAGGCTAATATGCAAATTGACCAAACAGCAGAATGACCGATTGCTATGATGTGCACTGACCACCAGGGGGCAGACGCTCAATGTAGAAGCTGCCCCATGGTGGTCAGTGTGCTCCCCCTGTGTAAGTGCCGCTCAGCCAGAAGCTGGGCTCACGGCTGGCATATGCAGCGGTGGTGGCAGGAGCCTCTCCCACCTCTGTGGCAGCGCTAAGGATGTCCAACTGCCTAAGCTATCAGTTGGACATCCCCCAAGGGCTCCCAGACTGCGAGAGGGTGCAGGCTGGGCTGAGGGATCCCCCCTGAGTGCATGAATTTCGTTCACTGGGCCTCTGAGAGTAAAGAAAATAAAATGATAGTGTGAGAGAATAACAAGCAGAGAACTAGTTTGGGTAAAGGGATCTGGGGAAGGGGAACATGAGAAGAATGTGAAGAAGCCTGCTCTGAGATCCTGATGAGCAAGATCATTAGAAGCAAAGTCCTGAGGCAGGAACAAGATTCTGTGCTGAGAACAGAACAGGAGGTGTCTATTACTAGGGACACTTGCAAGCAGCAGGTTTTTCCCTCACTGTCAATTAACATCATTTCTTCATACGTGTGTTTTGCCATGGCTTTTCAGCAGCATTCAAAAGTAATTTTCTCTTATTTGTGTGAGCATTGTTTTCTCTGGGAAGTCTTCCCAGATTTAAATGAACAGGTTAATTCTCCATTTATAAGCTCTTATGGCCTGTGCACCTCACAAATTTTATTTATTTCTGCCTGCACACCCACTAGACTGAAAACTCCATGAGGACTATGACGTTGATGCTGTTATTCACAATTTTATCACCAGCAGCAGTCCATTGTTTATCATTAAGTGAGTGTCCAACCGATGTTTTAATAAATAATTAATTAGTTAGAATGATGGTAGGTAAGCTTGGAAAGTTAAATTGGGTTTATATTGAAAATAAATCTGCAATGCTAGATTGGAAAGTATATGCTTGGTTAGTAGACTAGATGGGTTCACAGAGAATTTCAAGCTGGAGCGAGGGGGAGATTGGAATTGGGCTCTGGAAAGAACCATCTTGAAATCATACAAACGAAAGTTTTGAAAAGTGGGTGGCATGCAGGTGGGAGACCAGCAAGGTGACTGTTGCAACAACCTGGGTAAGAGATCATGAGAACCTAAGTTCAACTGGTGGTACAAACATGAAACAGAAAGAAATAGATGGAGACAGGTGTGGAGCCTGGATCTATGGAACATGGTAAGTACCTCAACACTGGGGAAACCTAAAGACAATGCAAAGTTTACATATTATAGGTGGTGACATTAACTAAGGACAGAAAAGTAGAAGATGGAACAAAAGGGAAGAGTTGCTTTTAAACATCTTGAGTTTATAGTATTGAAAGAAAACCTAAGTGGAGATGCCAAACAAGTAATTGGAGAAAATCCCTTCTGGACTTTGTCAAGGAAATAAAGGAAAAATTATACTAACTTGGACATACTCTCCAGAGAGATAACCAAGAAAGAGAGTAGAGGGAGAGACTTGATTTGACAGAGAATTTTAAAAATGTTCCCAATGTAGAGTTGGGGGGAGAAGATGAGCCAGAAAAAATAATGGTTAGCTGAGTCCTAGCAAAAAATAGAAGAGAAGATATGGGGCAGAAGGTGGGAGAGGAGAAGGTTTAGAAAAGTGGATAATGAGCAAAGTCAAATATGGAGAGAAGGCATTATGGAACAAAGTCTATTTAATTTTGCTTTGTTTGGTTTGCAAAAGTTGAGTTGGGTTCATCTCAAGAAGGAACTAAACATCCAGGCTGGAGTATATGTACTGGACATGTCATCACCATCTTCTAAAAGCATTCTATTGCTAATGTTTGAAAATTTGTCATCATTTTAATAAACAGAGAGAAAGAGTCCATATTTCAATTCCATGAAAAAATTTCTGTAATGATACAAACATAAATGAGAATGTTTATATGAAATATAAGGGCAAGGATAAATGGAACCGGATGCTCATCCCACAAGATGACCGACCCAGAATTATGGCTGCCCAAGCCCCATCCAGCTAAACTGAAAAATGAGGGAATCAATATTCAGCATGACAGGATGTCCCAGAAAACAGGTTGGAAAGTTCTGGTCTACCCCACCTCAAGGAACATGTCTGGAGACTAGTCCTACAGCCAGAGATAGTAACCAACCACTTCAGCTGTATCATTTACTAAAAGACGGAATCCACGATATCAGTTAGTAAATAACCACTACCTTCTTCCTTAGGTTCCTGTCCCCCTGATGCCCAGGCCCTCTGCCAGGACACACCCCTTCACTGCCTCAGAATGGGGATAATTGGGTTGGTAGGTAGGAGGTACTTTTTCATACCTTTTTAAAAAAAATTGTTTATTATTGATTTCAGAGAGGAAGGGAGAGGGAGAGAGAGAGAGAGAAACATCAATGATGAGAGAGAATCATTGATAGGCTACCTCCTGCATGCCCCCTACTGGGGATCAAGCCCACAACCCGGCATCTGGCCTGACCAGGAATTGAACCGTGACCTCCTGCTTCATAGATCGACACTCAACCACTGAGCCACATTGGCTGGACTTTTTTATACCTTTTAAGTCCTGTTCAGTGTAATGATAACACAGCTTATTTACAAAAGACAAAATAATATTTAACCTCTAGGCCTCGGCTGATTTGAGTTTGACGATTTCAATGTGGCCTACAAAATCTCCCAATTAAGAGCAACAACAGAAATCACAAAATGTCACTACCTAGTAATGAAAACAGTAAATAATCTTTCTCCTCATGACAAGCATTCCAAAAAATTTTGGTAATTGCTGCCCAGAAGCCAAGTGTCATTCTGATGCTCTCTGTTCAGTATGGGGACCAAAAAAATGCCTAAGTGGATGGAATTGTTAAGGCCTGTGACTTGAAACCCTTTGCTCAGGCAATTGAGAAAGGTTGCCCAAGAGCAATTTGGATCCCCTTCTCATTGGGACAGACCCAAACAATCACTCACAACAAGAAAATTCTAGTACGTGCATTCTGATACATGATTTATTGGGGAAAGAACCGGGCAGAGCCAAGAGACAAGAAAGTCAGGCTGCCCTAAGCCACAATGGGGTGTTTCTAGAGCCCTGAACTTGGGTTTTAATCATTACACATCTACTTCCAACTAACCATGTGATCATGGGATTGTCCTTTCCTCTCTAGAAATTATCCCCTTTATTCACTGATGATGAGTGAAATACAAGGACTGTGAGCTCTGGTGGTTTGGTTTCCATTTGCCTTTGCAGTAAGCTCCCTGCGTTGCCATGTGCCCCATGCTGCTGAGGGGGCTTCATGGGATTGTTTACTGTGTTAGCAGCTGTTGAAAAGTTCTCTAAAGAGGCCCGAGGAATCCAGTCTTTGTCTCCTTAGGCCCCTCTGTACCCGTTAGCAGCTTTTCAGCATTTTCCGTTTTGACAAGGTTCTTTACGCCTTTGAAATTCGTTTTACGTTTATGTTTCAACTACACCGAGGATTGTTTCTGTTGGTTTTGGGTAATGTCTTATCTGATTTATCTGCACTTCATTTTAACCTATTCAGTCTTCTCTATCACCGTTAAATGGCACCACCATTCACACAATTGGTCAGATCCAAAATTTAAGAGTCAGACTTCATTTCTCTCTTTCTTTTACTTCCTAATTTCAGACCAAAATCAATTCCTTTAAAGGCTGCCTTCTCAAAATAGCATAATTAAAGTACCATTGTCTCCATTTCCCTTATATTACTCTAGTCAAGCCACTATTATCCCTCAATCAAAAAACCACAGAGTCTCATATATGGGCTCTCGATTTTCATTCTTGTTCTTTTAATCTATACTCCAGGCAGCAGCAAGAGCAATCTGTCCAGTGCAATGATCTAATGTCACTTCCTCTGCTTAAGCTACAATGACTCCTTATCCTACACCAAGGCCTTTTATGATAAGATCCTTGCTAGGTCTCTGATCCCATGTGTATGTAACATGTTCCCCTTCAATCCCTCCAGGCTGCATTCTTGTCCTTGGCACACACAAGCAAGCTCAAGCCAGTTGCCATCTTTTCCCTCAGTTGGGTTTGCTTTCCCCACTGTATCATCCCTTAAGGAGGCTTTTCCTGGCTGAGGTGGTCTCCTCTCAGGCACCTTCACTTCATAGTATTGTATTTTCTTTGTAGCAGAAATTGTCTTGCTTATTAGTGAATCTCTTTGTTTGCAGTGTGTTCTCCACACACACAAAGATGCAAATTCCATGAGTCATATCCATATGTTCTTGATTTCCATGTGTCTCAAGTGCCTAGAACAGTGCCTGGCACATAGTATGTGCTAATATTATCTATTGCCTTGACATAAAACATTTCACATAGAATCGCTGAATTTATGTGTTTTCTTAAGAAAACAGAAGATTCTGGTTCTCCACCCCCCCCCCCCACACACACACACACACAGAATGCTTTATTTTAGAGCAAAATGTGACCGATATGAGGGCTGTAAATACCAATACACTTTATTTTGTTTTAAGCTCTTTTGGGGAGCTTTAAATTCAAATAGAGAACCTGCAAACAGATTTCCCCTACTGTTAAAAACAACATTTTAACTGATGAAGAGAGTTTACATCTTGGATTCTGGTTCTTTTTAAACTTTGGGTCTGGCTCAGCCTAATGAATGAGATCTCCAATTCCGTATTCAAATTGACTTATTTGAACTCCATGTTGTACTAGGCATGTAGTCATGCCTGACTCACTTCACATCGCTGAGCCTCAGCTCCTTTCTCTGTAAAATTCAGACAATAACAGTACTTACTCCATAGGGTCGTGTGCAGATTAAACAAGACAATCAACACATGTAAATCCTATCAGCCCAATGCCTTGGAATGGCAAACCCTCAATAAACATTATTACTATTACTGATGTTGGTTTTGTACTCTGAGTAGTCATCACTGCAAAGTAGAAGGGGTAGATTTCTCTATCAGAGATCATGCCTTTCATTTACATGCATTCATTTATTTATTCCATGAAGACTTGGATGCGAACTAGTTCCGGACACCGTGCTAGGCATGGCCGACCTACACAAATACTAATAAGTATGCTTGCCTTCAAGGAGCTCACCATGCCAAGCAAACAAGTGATTCAAATTCGTATTAGACCATGGGAGAATGGATAGACATATGCCCATAGGCTATGGGAAGAAAAGGGAAAAGATCTAAGTCACAGGGGGTGGGGAGAGAATGATGCCCATTTCTCTGAACCACGAGCCAAAGGGTGAGTACATGCATGTGCATTTGCCCTTCCAATACCACTGAGGCAGCCACGTCTGGTTCATTAGCCCTATTTTAAAGACGAAGAAACGGAAGTTTGGAGTAAGCGGAAGATCCAGTGTGCAAAATCTAAGATCTGCCCCTGGTTGGCGATACGGTCCCTAAGCTTGTGGAATTAAATAATCAAAATGTCCCTAAAGGACAGAAACTTGGAAAAAAAAAACTGTTTTGTTAATGATCTCAACTGGGACACTCAGTACTGCACACTCAGCTCAGCCCCAGTGTCTGAGATTCTCAAGGGAATAGGTCTTAATCCCAAAGCCCTCAAAAATAAATCCCCCATTTATAGCCAAACAAAAACATCACCTTGAAGCAAATGTAGAAAGAGATACTAGACCATAAATATTGCTTTGTTAGAAATGTAACTCTTGGTACATTTTTCTAAGCAGACATTCACTATAGTGTCTGGAAGGACAATCCACGCCTGGAAGTTGGAAAAATACACCAGGAATTTTACCTTTGGTTCTTTGCAGACTTCAGAAAATCCTCCTCCAGAAACTCAAAAGTGGAAACAGTAGCAGGAGCTGCTGAAGGGTGAGTGGGGAGCACTTTGGACATTCAACAATGTCCTAAAACAGTGGTCAGCAAACTGCGACTCGAAAGCCACATGCGGCTCTTTGGTCCCTCGAGTGTGGCCACGAAGTTTCAATCGCACTGTACGTGTGCACCCGCACGTGGTATTTTGTGGAAGAGCCACACTCAAGGGCCCGCACTCGCCGACCACTGTTCTAAAACAATGTCTCAGATATTGCCAATGCTCAGTAAAGGTTTCGCAACTGAAAGTATTCATCTCAGTTACCAGCTAACACTTTGGGAAAGGGAGAAGTCAGGTCTAGACTCAGGATTTACTTTGCTTGGGAATATCTTTGAGTAGACAGACCGGTGGTGGCCAGGGGTATTAGGGTGAGGAAAATAAGACCTTGGTCAAAGGATACAAACTTCCAATAATAAGATGTATAAGTTCTGGGATCTAATGTACAGCATGGTGACTATAATTAACAACACTATATTGTGTACTTGAAAGTTGCTGTAAGAGTTTAAATGTTCTTATCATAACAACAACTGTGTTAGGTGAAGGTTGTAATAACAAACTTTAACATGGTAAACATTTTGCAATAGATCCATGTATCAAATTATCACATTGCACACCTTATACTTACACAATGTTACATGTCACTCACATCTCAATTTGAAAGCTGGGGGAAAATAGAATATATCTGAAAGAGACATAGGAAAAGTCTGTTGTGATTTAATAGAGAAAATGCTGCTAATTAGAGCAACACTCCCTAAGTGTATATAATGTAAGTCCCTATTGTGTCTTGCCCTTACCTTGTTCAAAGTACTTTCTCTGCTTGGAGTTGCCTTCCCTGGCTATATAGATCTCCAATTTATATAATCCCAAGCATATTCTTAGACCCAATTTTAACGTTACTTATTTCAAGGAAGGTTTCTCTGGCAAGGTTCTTCTAACAGTGTGAGATCTTTCCTCTAAAGTCAAACAGCATTTGGTCTGTATCTCCTTTTGGACACTATTCACTCTGACTTTGTCACAGAGAATCACTATAACAATTGAACTTGAGGACTATGAATATAACTAATTCACTGTTTTAGACATAAGTCTCTGAACATTGTTTTTAACACCCGAGATGCTCAATTTATTTTTTCCCTTTGGACTTAATTTATCTCTTTTAACACCTCAAATAGTACTTCTCTTGTTTCTTTAATGTCTTATCAAGAAGGTAAAGCTTCGAGTTAATAAACCTGGCAGCATTTTGACTTGCTGAGAGATGGTATGTCTGTAACTTGTGCTTAACAACAATCTAAGGGTGTAAAATACATACAAAAATAGTTAACAATTATAAAAAGGCACATGAAATATAAATAAACACATGCAACAAATAGCTATGGATAAAAAATGCCACTAATACCATTGAAGTCCTGGTATTATATGTAATGTCATCAGTCAGTCAATAGCTCTTTTCCTCAGCATTACGTTTCTAAGTTTTGCGCTAAGAAATGTAGTTCTTGTAATTTATTTTTCCTAATGTATAATATTCTATTGTTTTCTATACCATTATTTATTTAACCATTAGTTGTTTAATTTCTTTTTAATTTTTGTCTAGTATGTAATCACATGGCTCAATTTATCATTTTAAAAACCAATTTGACAATCTTTGAATTTTAATGATGAGTTTAGTCCATTTATATTTATTTTCCTTACTAATTTATTTGGATTTATTTATGCCTTCTTAGGGGATTTCTGTTTATCTTGATATTTTCTATTATTTGTTTCATCTCCCTTACTGTGTTAATCTGGATTGGTTGACTTTAAAATTTCATTTATTCTTCTAAACCTAAAAAATTCATTTTTATCTTTTGTAATTATTGAAAATATATACGTATAAGTAAAAGTCTAAGGACAAGAATTTTAGAACTCAATAAACCTAATGAACCCTCCAATCTAACATATTAGTTTTTGCTGATATGTTTAGTTTATCACTTCCCCATGGAAAATATTATTATTATTTTGTACTCTATTTATTCCTGTTTTTCCATATGTTTCCCAATGTCTGCACTCATTTCTTTTTGCTTCTGAGACTTCCTTCAGAGTATATTCCTCTTTTCTGGATAACAGTCTTTAGAAGCATCTTCAGTGCACAACTCTTGATGGTAAACTCTCTTCATTGTCTTGTATGAAAACATCTTTATAATCTATGTTTTTCATTAGATTTTTAAATATAAAACCTTCACAACGTCATGGATGGAACTGGAGAGCATTATGCTAAGTGAAATAAGCCAGTCAATGAAGGAAAAATACCACATGATCTCACTCATTCATGGATAATAGAGACCATTATAAACTTTTGAACAATAATAGATACAGAGGCAGAGCTGCCTCAAACAGATTGTCAAACTGCAGCAGGAAGGCCGGGGAGGGTTGCGGGGCAGGAGGTAGGGGGGTAAGAGATCAACTAAAGGACTTGTATGCATGCATAGAAGCATAACCAGTGGACATAAGACATTGGGGGATAGGGGAGGCTAGGGGACTGTCTAGGGCGGGGGGATAAAATGGACACATATGTAATACCCTTTGTAATACTTTAAGCAATAAAAAAAATAAATAAATAAATAAATAAATAAATAAATAAATAAATAAATATAAAACCTTCATAACAATTAAAAATATAGTACAAGTAATTCTGGTATACACTTCACCTAGATTAACCAATTCTTTTTCTGTTCATTTTGCTTTATCTCCACATGGACAAATTTCAAGAGTTTGAACCAGGATTATACTGATAAATGACTGAGAAAAACTATAGGTTGTTGAAAGTGTTCAAAGTCCTATTTTAACATTGCTTTACAATATTAAATGTAGATAATCTGTTTAATTTGGTAAAAACATGTTTTAATCTATGTTTCTTAGAATCACACATATTAGAGGTCAGTCTTCTATGAAATCTTTAGAAAATGAATGCATGGCTCAGATATCACTTTTATTGGGGTGGTTCATTCTTGAGAAAATAAAGGAACTATTTACTAAGCAATAAATCCTATTGTGAATGTTTGCCTGAAAATCCAATACAAAAAAAAAAATGTGACATGAAATGCAAGAGGCTTTCTTCTTTCAATAAGTCCTAAACATTTCCCTTCTTTTCTTTATTCTCCTCTTGGTCCTTTCTAGCCATGACACAAGAAAATAGCACTGAAGTGACTGAGTTCTTTCTTCTAGGATTTGGTGCACAACATGAGTTTCGGTATGCTCTCTTCGTTGTATTTCTGGTCATCTATGTGACCTCTATGGTGGGTAATATCGGAATGATTCTGCTCATCAAGACAGATTCCAGACTTCGAACACCCATGTACTTCTTCCTACAACATTTGGCTTTTGTTGATATCTGCTATACCTCTGCTATCACTCCCAAGATGCTGCAGAACTTCATAGTAGGAAATATATCAATATCATTCAGGGGCTGTGTTATGCAATTACTGGTTTACGCAACATTCGCAACCAGTGACTGTTACCTCCTGGCGGCTATGGCAGTGGACCGTTATGTGGCCATCTGTAACCCACTTCACTATCCCATTGTCATGTCCCGAAGAGTCTGCATCCATTTGGTAGCTGGCTCATACGTCATGGGCTCCATAAATGCTTCTGTGCACACAGGTTTTACATTTTCATTGTCTTTCTGCAAGTCCAATGCCATCAATCACTTTTTTTGTGATGTTCCACCAATCCTCTCCCTTTCATGCTCCAACACTGACATCAACATTAGGCTACTTGCTGTCTTTGTGGGATTTAACTTGATGTCCACTGTGCTGGTTGTCATCTTTTCCTACATCTCTATCATGGTTGCCATCCTAAAGATGTCTTCTACCACCGGGAGGAAAAAAGCCTTCTCCACGTGTGCCTCCCACCTGACAACAGTCACCATTTTCTATGGGACCCTATCATACATGTACCTACAGCCTCATTCTAGCAATTTCCAGGAGAATATGAAAGTGGCTTCTGTATGTTATGGCATTATGATTCCCATGTTGAACCCCCTGATCTATAGTTTGAGGAATAAGGAAGTAAAGGAAGCTCTAAAAGTGATGGGGGAAAAGATCCTCTAGATTGGACCCCAATTCAGCACATCAAGGCATCCAATAGAGGCATTCAGGAAAGAACCTCAAACTCTCAGTTGAGAGGACATTTTTTAAAAATATATATTTTATTGATTTTTTACAGAGAAGGCGGAGAGGGATAGAGAGTTAGAAACATCGATGAGAGAGAAACATCAATCAGCTGCCTCCTGTACACCCCCTACTGGGGATGTGCCCGCAACCAAGGTACATGCCCTTGAACAGAATTGAGCCTGGGACCCTTCAGTCTGCAGGCCTACGCTCTATCCCAGCCGTGGGCAAACTACAGCCTGCGGGCCAGATCCGGCCCGTTTGAAATGAATAAAACTAAAAAAAAAAAAGACCGTACCCTTTTATGTAATGATGTTTACTTTGAATTTATATTAGTTCACACAAACACTCCATCCATGCTTTTGTTCCGGCCCTCCGGTCCAGTTTAAGAACCCATTGTGGCCCTCGAGTCAAAAAGTTTGCCCACCCCTGCCCTAGAGGGAGAAATTGGAGACTAATGGTGACTATAGTTGAAACTCTATATCATATGTTTGAAATTTGCTCAAAGGGTAAATTTTAAGCACTGTCACCATAAAGGAAGGAAGGAAGGAAGGAAGGAAGGAAGGAAGGAAGGAAGGAAGGAAGGAAGGAAAGAAGGAAGGAAGGAGTGAAGGAAGGAAGGAAGGAAGGAAGGAAGGAGTGAAGGAAGGAAGGAAGGAAGGAAGGAAGGAAGGAAGGAAGGAAGGAAGGGAGGAAGGAAGGAGAGAAGGGAGGGAGGGAGGGAGGGAGGGAGGGAGGAAGGAAGGAAGGAAGGAAGGAAATGGTGACTCTGTAAGGTAAGGGATATGTTAATGATCTTTATTGTGGTGATCACTCCACAATGTATACTTATATCTAAACATCAACTTGTATACCTTAAAGATATATAAATTTTGTCAATTGTATCTCATAGCTGGAGGGGAAAGATAATAAAACAGAGAAAAATTTAGTACAAGTTAGGAACTCTATCTGGCTAATTGGAAATAGGGCACAAAGTGGAGTGTCACATTAGTATTCCGCACTCAATACTGAGATGAAAGAAATCCCAAAAGGAAATAAACTCTGTGACAAATGGACAATAGGAGCGATATTTCTGAGACATATGTGAAGGAAGAAACGGATGATTTGGGTTTGTTATCACTTCTGCAAGAGACAACCTTCCTTTCTGACATCATAGAGAGAAGTAATGGCCTGATGTTGCATAATCGTACATTGTTTCATAAATCAACAGCTACAGTTTAGACCAGTGGTCGGCAAACTGTGGCTCGTGAGCTACATGCGGCTCTTTGGCCCCTTGAGTGTGGCTCTTCCACAAAATATCACGTGTGGGCGCGCAGGTACAGTGCGATTGAAACTTCGTGGCCCATGCACAGAAGTCGGTTTTCGGCCTGGGCGAGTCTATTTTGAAGAAGTGGCGTTAGAAGAAGTGGGGGGTATCAGTCAGTCAGGCGATGAGACGCGGCCCGCAGCGCTGGGGAGGCGCACGCACAATTCATGCAGGAGTTGATGATGGGAGAGTTGGAAGGGGTTGACCTCAGCGAATGTACCTCAATCAGATTGAGGATGTTTTTAGCAAAGGCCAGCTTAGGAGTACCCTAATTAAGTTAATAACAACGTACCTACCTATATAGTTTAAGTTTTAAAAATTTGGCTCTCAAAAGAAATTTCAATTATTGTACTGTTGATATTTGGCTCTGTTGACTAATGAGTTTGCCGACCACTGGTTTAGGCTGTTTGAACCCAACTTAGACTGATGAGAACAGGGAGATATGGACCCTATTCTTGACTGAATGAGCACTTCGCACATTTATTTATTTATTTATTTATTTATTTATTTATTTGCAAATTCAAACATTTATAGAATCACTGGACAGCTACAACTCAATCAGATACCATATCTAGCACAAGATTTAGGAGGCATCTAATCCCCACCCCCAAAAAAGGGGGGGCCTTTTTCCCAAGGAAAGAAAAGGATATAGATGTAGGATCATATTCAACAGCCCAGAGATCTGAGAGAAGCAAATGGAAGAGTAGCTAGAGGCCAACATAGTATAAAGACCAAGCAAATATCCATGATGGCTGAAGCCCAAAGCTCAACCATCAAGAGGACACCCTTCTAAAAAGTAAAATCACTCAAGAATAAAAATGAATAAACTATTGATACTCATAATAAACAAGTTGAATAAATACCCAGGGAAGTATGCTGAGTGAAAAATGCCAATCCCAAAAGTTATATATTGTATGATTTCATTTATACAACATGTTTGAAATGATGATATTTTAGAAATGGAGGGTTGCTCAATGGTTACCTGAGTTTAGGTATGGAGTGAAGCAGGGATGAGGGGTGGAGGAGGAAAAGGATGTGGTTGGGATGGTTATAAAATGGCAATACAAGATACTACTATAGTTTTGGTGGTGGGAACTGTTCAGTATTTTTACTGTGGTCATGACACAGGAACCTACACAGGTGATACAATTTTATAGAACTTAACACAAACACACACACAAATGAGTATATAAGTAAAGCTGAAGAAATATGAGTAATATCAATAGATTGCATTAATGTCAATATCCTGTTTGTGATATCATACTATACTTTGGCAAAATGTTATCATTGGGGGTGTATTCACTTTCCATTGCTGCTGTAACAAATTTAATAGCTTAAAACAACACAAATCTGTTATCTTACAGTCCTGGAAGACAGCATCCAAAAAGGGTCTCTAAAGCAAGATGTCAGAAGGACTATGTACCTTTGGGAAAATTCTAGGGAGGAAATCTACTTTCTTGATTTTCTGGGGGTTCTAGGGAAGAATCTATTTCCTTTATTTTTAGCTCCGAGAAGCTACCTATCTTCCTTGGCTTATAGCCTACTTCTTTATCTTCAAAGCCAACATCACAGCATCATCAAATTTCTCTGTGACCCTCACTCTTCTGCTTTCCTCTTCTAATGCCAAGGACTCTTGGAAAATCCAGAGTTCCGCTCATTAGCAACCTTAGTTCCTCTTTGCCGTGCAATCTAACATGCTCACAGATTCCAGGGATTTGGATATCGACATTTGGGGAGAACTACTCGCAGGAGGAATCTTGGAAAAGTGTACAAGGGATCTCTCTAGTTTATTTCTTACAACTTTACATGAAGTTATAATCATCTCAATAAAAAAAATTATTGAAAATACATTTAGTGGAAATGTTTGTGAATCTGTGCTGTAGTTAAACTGATTTTCAACTGTGTTGATCTTCATCTTTTGTACAAACATATCTTCCACCATCCTGGGCTTACCTTGTGCTACAAAGGAAGAAAAAAAGCCTCCCCCATAGATGTCTTCCGCCTAACAGCTCTCAGTTTTCTTTGAGGCCTTCTCTCACATGTACTTACAGTATGGATCTAATGAGTTTCCAGAATAGAAAAATGCAACACCGATATTTTGTGGCATTCTAATTCTCATGTTAAATCTTCTTATCTACCACCTATGAAATGAGGAAGTAAAAGAAGCTCTATAATCAATAAGGAATAAATTCGTCTTGCTTGGGCATCATTTGCTAACACTGAGTGCCAGAAGTATCTAAGTGGTGAGTGTTCTGTGACATTTGCTGATATCACATTGACCATAGCAAGTCACACAACCAACCTAGTTTAAAAGAGTTGGAGTAATTGACTCCACTGCTTGTTGGAAAGATCTGTAACATCACATTATAATGGTGTGGATGCACTGAAGGAAAGAATTTGTGGCCATCTTTATAATTGAGCACACCATGTTTCTGCCCAGAGTAAATTGTTTTCTTTAAGTAACACCCTAATCAGGATATGATTCACACTGCCGTAGGTGTACGTATGAGAAACTCTCAAATTTAATCTTCACAAACACAATGATAACTTGTATTTTGCTCATTATTGTATCCCCAGCACCTATTAATTGTCAGGACTATATTACATCCTCATTAAATGCTTGCTGAATGAATGAACAGAGAATGCACACAGAAAACTTGATTGTGGTCACTACAATCAAGTACCAGCTACAGCCCAGTACAGCTAACTGTTCTTATAGCAGCTCATGTTTTATAGGGGCTTTATAGGTCCAGCAACTGTCTCTAAGACATTATGATAGATGCTTAACTCTTCAACCAAAATTTGAAATCAAAGGTTAGCAAAGATGGCTGACTTTATAGAAAATATTAGTCTAAAGCAAGGTGGGGGGGGGGGGGATGTGGTACCAATCATAAAAGATTCCAATAAGAATAACACGGAGAAGAAAGCACCTACAGAAGCTGAAAGGCAAAGAATCTATACACTATCCCTTATGTGTGTTCACCAACAGTGGTAAAACGTACTTGTTTTTTCATCCACTGTCCATTCTCCTCTTATTCCGTTCTAAAAAGGTTCCAATGTAATGTGGAAAGTAATGTAACCAAATAAGTAGGTACTAATTTCTCAGTTTCCATTGTGGCCAGGATGGTATGTGTCTTAGTTTTCATTCCTGAGATATGGTTTTGGGTAAAGGTAATGTATGTGGGTATGTATAGTGAAGAATTAACCTTACCTAAACAAATGTCTGTCCTTTGCTTTCAACTACTTGGAATTGATCTCTAAGTCCCTGGAATGCCCTCCTAATAGGATTGTCTGCTTGCCTGGAAGCTTTGGCGATTTGAATGTTCTGTGTGATTTACGATGGGGTTTTGGCATACTGCCATATTAGTTCCAACCTCCAGAGGAACTGCAGACCTAAGGGATTACCTGAACGTCTGGGGGGGTTGGGAAGTAAAGATCAGCCACATCAGCAATATGTCACAGAACTCCAAAAGACAGTTGGAAATTGGTAGTTACAAAACAGTGATGGGGATGTATAGTACAGCATAGGGAATATAGTTAACAATATTACAATAACTATATATGGTGACAGCTGGGTACTGGAAATATCAGGAGGAACACTTTGTAAAGTATATGATTGTCTAACCACTATGCATTCACCTGAAACTAATACAAAATATATTGAATG